GGTGGGGGATTGATGGATGGATGGGTGGATGGATAGGTTGTTGGAAGGACGGATCAATAAACCAACAGTTGGAAGAAAAGACAGATGAAAGAAAAAACAAAAACTTCACCAAAAACAGAACAGTTTAGCCTCACTGCCTGGCCTTGGGGAGGGAGGATGTGCCCCTGTCCCGCAACTGTGCATTTTGGCGAGGCAGGGATGAGAAAAAGCTCACTGAGTACGCAAGTGGATAGTCTGCCCGGAGCTCACCTTCCAGAATGACAGTGATGGGGTTGGGTCGGAAGCCCTCGCCCCCTGGGCACAAGGTTCTATACTCGGCTGCAAAGGAAACAGGTTCTTCTGAGGGGCTGTGGGGTGAAGCCCAAGGGAGGCATGGGAATTGAGGTCTCCCAAAACGGGCTCCAGAATGGGTCCCACATCCCTCTACCACACCAATTCCATCCCCTTACCTCCTCAGCCTCTCGGCACCGAGAGACTTCAGCCAATCTGGGAAGATGGGGCAGTGTGCATGTGTGTGTGTGTGTGTGTGTGTGTGTGTGTGTGTGTGTGTGTGTGAACATGTGTTCACATTCAACATATGAACAGATGGACTGTGTGCTAACAGCTGGGGGTGGAAAGGGGTGATTTCTTCTGATCTAAAACCAGACCAGTGTGACTGCAAATCTTCCCCATTGAAAGAAAGACCCCGGATATCACATATACACATGGACACAGACACACACAGACACACACAGACACACCTGAATAGGTGGACAGGTGTGTGAACCTGAGGCCTTTGCACATGCTGTTCCCACAGCATCACAGACCCTTCCCCCTGCTCTGCCTAGAAAACTCCTACTCAGCCTTTTGTCCTGAGAAGTCTTCCCTTATCCACTTCCTGTCCTTGGCCACCACTGTGTCTCAGACAAACCCTCAGGATAGCTCTACGCCCACAGTCCGGGGACCACTGGTATACAGGTGAGGGGCAGTGTGCCGTGCTGTGGTTCATCCTGCTCTGGGTCCCCAGCCCCTTGCACAGGGCATGGAGGAACTCTCAATGATTGCTGGCTGACGGACTGAGGAAGCAAGCGAATAGAAACACACAGAGAATTTGCAGGAAGGGAGGGCAGAGAGAGACGTGGAGCGAGGAGGCACAGCCGATGAACTGCTAAAGGTATGCTGTGTGACCCAGGGCGAGCCCCTCTCCCTCTCTGGTTCTCAGTGTCCCTCCCTTAGCACAGATGACCCCCGAAGTCCTGGGGAGTGCTCGCCTGTGTCCCCCACTACCACCCGGAGACTCACTGGTGTTGGCCAGCGGGCACAGTTCACACGGGTTACCCCAGGCCCGTCCCAGGGAGCAACAGCAAGAAGCCCGGGTGACGCCAACCCCGATCTCAGCAGCGCAGAAGATACCACCATCCCCTCGGTCATGCGTGTCCAGAAAACAGTTCCCGACCCGGGTGTCTGAACAGAGAAAGGGGTGGTTAGCATGGGGCAGGAGAGACGAGGGCGCGCGCGTTTGCACCTCTCTGCGTAACTGTGCGTGTGGCCGTGTGCGCATGCGTGCCTGTGTGCCTGGCTCTGATTCGCGGCCGTGTGCGCACATGCGCCTGCGCCTGGCTCTGATTCGCGGCCGTGTGCGCATGCGTGCCTGTGTGCCTGGCCCTGATTCGCGGCCGTGTGCGCATGCGTGCCTGGCTCTGCCTCGCGGCTGCGTGTACACATGTGCCCGTGTGCATGGCTGTGCCTCTGCATACGTGTACATGTGCACACATGTGACTGTGTGTGTATATGTATGTATGAGTGTGTAGAGCACAGGGACAGAAGGGGGGGGTCTGAACAAATGGACAGGGACACTGTCCCTGGGCAGGGAGCTGTGTGTGTGTGTGTGTGTGTGTGTGTGTGTGCGCGCGCACACACCCCAGGAGTGGAAGGGTGTGCAAGAACACATCCTCAGTGGCCCTGATCAGGGGCTGGCAAAGGTCCTGTTTGTCAAGAACAGGTAAATCTGAGCTCCGCCCAGCTCACCTGCCATCAGATCCCCAGCTGGAGCCAAGGGCTTACTCACCCACACAGCCCACCCCGCTGGGGTTCAGCTCAAAATCCTGGGGACAATTGCAGAGATAGCTGCCGGGGGTGTTGACACACAGGCCATTGATGCAGTTCACAGGGTCTGCACACTCATTGACATCTGGTGGAGGGGTGGGGAATGCTGTCAGCGGGAGCCCTCCCTCAATCCACTTCCCTCCCACCTTCCTCCTGGGAAGCTGAAGCCCTTAATGTTGGATGTGGGCTGTGGAGTGAGGCCATGTCCTCCCCTGGGAAGAAAGCCTGAAGGGACAGCAGCCTCCAGGGTCTGCCCTGGCCTGTCTAACCCCCTCTCCTCCCTGTTCTGTTCCACTTGGGATGGAGGTTTGCCCCTTTAAAGTTTCCTGTGTCATGGGTTCCACGCAGCCAACCTACAAAGCCCAACATTTAGAACATGCTTTCAAGCCACGGGTTGGCAGGCTATTATCGGTGGGCCAGAGCCCCCTGCCTGTTTGTGTAAATAAAGTTTTATTGGCACACACCCACGCCCACTCATTTACATACTGCCTGTGTGTGTCTGCTTCTGAGCTACGAGGCAGTTGAGTAGCTGTGACAGAGACTGTATGGCTGGAAAGCCAAAAATATTTCCTATCTGGTCGTTTGCCAGAAAAGTTTGCTGACCCCCGTTTTAAATACATAAGTGGGAGGTCATCTTGACGGTAGTAGTGGAGGGAGTACACCTTCATTCATTCACTGCATCGATTCAGAAGATGATAGATGCCAACGGAGGAGGTTGATGGGAACACAGATCAATGTGGGCACTGCTGGAGATGGGGGTCAGACAAGCCCCCCCCTCCAGAATAGGACATTCAAGAAGAGATCTGAGGGCAGGGAGGCAGTAAGCCCTGCCCCTCCTCCCACCCCCACAGCCCGGCTGACCCCACACCTGTGCAATTGCCACCACCGCGGTCCAGCTCATAGCCCTCACTGCAGATGCAGCGGAACATTCCGGGCAGGTTCTCGCAGCTCCCGAACACACAGAGGTTCCCGAGAATGCACTCGTCCACGTCTGTGGGGACCCCAGGTCAGCCCGCCTTGCCTGGCAGCCTGCTCCTGCTGTGTCCCCCAGCCCGGCAGCCCCAGGTCTCACCCCGACAGGCGCGGTGGTCCTCCGTGGGGCTGAAGCCCATCTCACATTCACAGCGGTACCCGCCGGGGGCATTGAGGCACTGCCCGTTCTCACAGAGGTCCACGTCCTCAGCACATTCGTCCCTGTCTGCGGGACCCCGAGAGGCAGAGGGCTGGGGGCCAGCTGGCCGGGACCCACGCGGGGCAGGGGCAAGGGGCCCCGGTCAAACCCTTCACGGTCACCCAGGGTTCCGGGGAGTACCGGGAACTCAGACCCCGACTCAGGGAGACAGGAGACCTGGTCACGCGGGACCCGGGTGGAGGGCCACCGGGAAGTAAGCTAGTGTTCCTGTGCTCCACGTCCAGAAGGCTCCGTGCATTCAGAGTCCAGGGGAGAAGACGGCCCACCCCGTGACTCGGCCTGGCCCGTGGCCCCGCGGGGATGAAGTCACAGCATCTCCAGCACCCCGGCGCCGTGCACCGGGTGGGATCGGTTTGAGTTGGAACCCAGCCCCTGTGGCTGTCCCCTCGGGCCCCACCCCACTCTCACCTTCACAGGAGAAGCCATCCCCGGTGAAGCCCTGGTGGCAGGCACAGCGGTAGGAGCCGGGAACATTCAGGCAGTCGGCCCTCAGGCTGCACTGGTGCTCCCGGGAAGCACACTCGTCCAGGTCTGCAGGACACGGAGCCCGGGGCCCCCCAGTGTGCGCATTGGGGGGGCTGCAGGGAGGCGGACCCTCCAAGCTCGGCCCTGTCCGACCCCCACAGACACCCCTGGGCCCAGACCCCCACCCCCACCGCCCCGTCTCCCTCCTGCCCCCCACCTACCTCAGCTGCTCTGCCCAGACCGCCTGCCCCCAGGCACTCACCGTGGCATGCGAAGCCATCCCCCACCCAGCCTGGCTGGCACCTGCAGCTGAAACTCCCAGGGACGTTGAGGCAGGAAGCGTGACTGTCACAGCTGTGTCCCCCAAGCTCACACTCGTCCACATCTGCAAGGAGAGGGACCCGGTCACGGGAGGGTCTGGACCAGGCGAGGAGAGGAAGGACACGGCACCCCCACAAGGCCTGGGCTTTGTAGAAATAGGGCTTCGGGTCCAGAGTAGGGAGATACTACAGCAACAGGGAAAGGGCAAGGACCCTCCTGGGGGAGGGCTGGCCCAGAAAGCCCCCCACCCACCTCAGGAGCTTCCCCCGTCACCCAGAGCCCAGGAGGAAAGCTCCCAAACCCCAAAGGCACGACTCCCAGCAGCCCTCTGAAGTGATCTGAAACAGGAACGTAAGAGTCTCAGGGTAGACTTGAAGAGTAGCCGTCCTAATGCATACGTCCTCACCCTAAAGCAGGATTTCCTTCTAAACCGGCGTCTCGGACCCTCAGCCAGGTCAGCCTCACCCTTGTAACTCTGCGATGTCCACTCACCACCCAAGTGAGCCCCTGGTTCCCGAACGTTGCTTCCCATGCTTCCTCACTGTTACTTAGGTAAATGTATTTTAAAAGCCAACTTTACATCAACAACAGGCTCTAAAGAGTCATGGATTTGAGGCTGCTACATAACGTCGGATTCTAACACGCGTTAAAATAACCGCATCAGTGTATCTCCAGAAAGATACGTTCGCGTTGTCCTAATGCCCGGAAGCTGTGCACAGGACGTTATTTGGAAACAGGGTCTTTGTGGATGTAACCAGGTTAGGATGGGGTCATCCTGGATTCTGGTGGCCCTAATCCAGTGACTGGCATTCTCATAAGAGGGAAATTTGGACCCAGACACAGAGACAACCCACGTGAAGACAGACTCAGAGAGTAGAGTGACACGCTGACGAGGCACACGGGGGACTCCTGGCCACCGCCAGAAGGCAGTAGAGGCGTGGGACAGATTCCCCCTCTGAGCCCCCGCAGCCCTGCGGACGTGCTGATTTCAGATTTCTGGGCCCGGGAACCGTTCCGGACAGAGAATACGTTTCTGCGCTTCTGAGCCCTGAGACTGGTAGGAATTTGTTACGACAGCGCTAGGAGCCTGAGTCAGTTGACTAACGAACCGTGGAAACGTTCGCCCCCGTAGAGTGTCGCGTCATCAGGCTGGCATGCTTTGGGAATGCTGCCACGGACACCTGGGGCCCGCAGAGCTGGGGGCTAGAGGGGAGCCCCAGGGGCACCCGACTGGGTCCTGTTCCCGCTTGAACACGAGGCCCTACCCGCGGAAATGTGGGAGAATGAACTCTGGCCGTGCTCAGCCCCGGGGGACGGGGCAGGGACCCCACAACCCCCGAGCTGGCCCCTCGGAGCCCCCCGTGCCACACCCCACCGACCGCCAGCTCACCGGAGCAGCCCATGGCCCCCTTCCTGATGATGTAACCCAGATGGCAGTGGCAGACAAAGGAGCCTTTTGTGTTCTCACAGTCCCCGTGGAGGCAAAGGTGGGGCTTCAGTTCACACTCGTTCAAGTCTGCGGGGTGACAGGAGGGCAAGCAGGTGAGGGCGGAGGGGGTGCCCGAGCGTTGCCGGGTGCCCTGCCACGCCGCTCCCCCGCGTGGAGGCTCTGGGTGCCCGTCTCCGGGACTGCACGCCGTTTCTGGTTCCGCCACCGGACCGCTGTCTTGTCCGCGTTTTCCAGCGCGTACCCTGTGGGACACACTGGGCACAAGTTCCCAAAAGGATTTTGTAGCTGAGGACAGTTAGAGCGTGCAGAGTTAGGGTTTTTCTCCTACGGGCCTTTTCAGAGCCTTTACGCCAACAGGGAGCAGCAAGAAGGGCGTGGAGCAGTAAACAGTTCCCTGTGTCATTTGAGCCGAGGTGCTTCAGGGCTTCCTAAGACTCCCGCGATCGGGAACGCTGAGCTGCACTGGGGCTGCACACACGTCTTTCCTCGGAGAGAATTACACCTTCCCTTCCTGGAACTTCCCCGCTCGGGCCCCAGCGCTGCCCTGATGGGGCACCCAGGACGCATCTGCTCCCGGGGCCCCGCGATGCCCCGCAGCCAGGGGAGGACAGTAACCACGGCCTGAACAGCCCGTGGTCCCCGAGCGGGTCTCAGAAAACACAGTTCTGAGCGCCCTTTCCCATCGAGCTCGCCCCCCCTCTGCATAAAACGCCTTGGCGTGTGACAATCTTGAGACGTAGCCCCGGGAGCGGGGTGTGCATCAGGTACACAGTGGTGCTCAATAGATGTACTTCAAGAGCAAGGTTCAGGGTATCTGCTGCTGTGAATCCGAGCCCCCAGGCCCTGGCGCGTGGCGGTCGGCCCTGCGCACTGGTGGCCACGCGCAGACTGCCACGTGCTGCTGCAGAGCCTGTCTCCCTCGCCTGCACGTGACGGGGACAGGACCCGCTGTCTGTCTTGCCCACGTGCCCCCCTGGGGAAGGCCTGGTGTGTGAGGTCAGACGCTGTCTCCTCCGCCCCACGGTCCTGGCTCCTCACCGACACACGCCCTCGCGTCCAGCGTGGCCACGAAGCCCTCATAGCACAGGCAGTGGTGACCCCCCGGCACGTTGACGCACTGGCCTCCGTCGCAGATGTCCGGGTTCTCCGCACACTCATCCACGTCTGGGGGAGCAGAGGTGGGGGCTGGGCTGTAGGCAGGCAGGGACGGAGGAGCAGCCCCCGGGGACCTGGCCACGGGGTCAGTGGCTTATCCCAGGTCTGGCCGGCTTCGCCTGGACCAAGCTAGGTTGGATCCCCTATCCCACGCACCTGCACACGCCCTCCCATCGGGCATCAGCGAGTAGCCGTGTCCACAGCCACACCGGTAGCTGCCCTCGGTGTTTGTGCAGTGCACGTCACACCCACCGTTCCCAGTGCGGCATTCGTTGATATCTGTGGGAGGCAGGGCAGGCTCGAGCACGGGGCTGATGGGGGGGGGAGGGCAGGAGTGGGGTCTGGAACTGAGGCCAGGAAGGACCGCCACGGTGGCTGGGGCTGGGGGCTGGGGGCTGGTGCCCACGTGGGGCAGGTGGGCGCAGTCTCACCCGTGCAGCCGAGGCGGTCAGCTGTGCTCTGGAAGCCAGCGTGGCAGGCGCACTGGAAGGCCCCGATGATGTTGACACAGTGGCCATGGGGACACAGGCCGTCACTCAGGGAACACTCATCGACATCTGTGGGGG